TGATATGGATGGGAGTAGTTAGTAGTAGGTTATATTTGGGGTGCCAGGGAGTAAATGTAAATGGGGAGCCTTTAATTGAGCTATGTTAGAAAGAATTTTGGTTATAAGTAATACATTATTTATGAAAAAGAGGATAATATAACATTTACAAGGTATGATGTAGCACGTAATGAAAGTAGTTTATTAGATTATGTATTGGTGGATAAAAGGTTGATGGTAGGATCAGGTATGTACATGTTTTATTTGAGGGGCAACTGATATTTGGTCATTATTTAGTTGTAGTAAGTTAGAGTAAGAGGTAGATGGGGGAAAGAGGAAAGGTTGGCAACAACAAGTAAGAGGGAGTGAAAGTGTATAAACTAAGGGAGGAGGAAGTCTCGCGGTGAGATATAAGGCGACTATTGGCAGAACGGTGGGTAGTGCAAAGATGAGTAGTTGGGGGGGTTTTGTAGAGGGTTGGAATAGTTTTAAAAAAGCAGTATTAGAATGTGGTGGCTGAAGTTTGTGGTTATAGGGAGGGTGGGGGCAGGAGAAAGAGGAATTGATTGGTGGAATGATGAAGTAAAGGGTATGATAAAAAGAGAAAAGGTAGCTTATGAGAGGTTTTTTTTACAAAGCGAAGTGTTATAAGACGAGCAGTGTATATGGAGAGTAATAGAAGGGTTAAAGAGTGTGGTGATAGAGTGCAAAAGGAGAGCAGATGATAGAGTGGGAGGCATGTCAAGAAATTTTAATTGCAAATAAGAAAAATTTTGGAGTGGTTAAACAAGTTAAGAAAGCCTAGGAAATATGGATTTGTCAGTTAAAACTGGAGTTAGGGGAGTTATAGAGATGGGGAGGATGGAGGTTTTGGGTAGATGGCGAGATATTTTAGGAACTATCTAAATGTTAAGGAAGAAAGGGAGGCAGTAATTTCATGCACTGGTCTGGAGGATACCGTCTTTTAGGAGAGTGAAGAGAGCAGAATGTAAGTGTGGGGGAGTAGTGAGGCATTACGTAAATGAAAGGGTGGTAAAGCAGCTGGGAACTGATGGGATCATGACAGTAAGAAAATGTTTAAAAGCAGGGGGGGGGGATGGGATATAAGAGTTGGAGGGTTGGTACATTTTGTTTAAGAAATGTATGAAAGAGGGGTAGGTACCTAGGGTTTGGCAGAGAGCATGTATAGTCCCTTTATTTAAGGGGGTAAGGGGACAAAAAGAGACTGTAAAATTATTAGAGGAATAAGCTTACTGAGTTTATACAGGAAAAAGGTCTGTTGGGTTATAATTGAAAGAAATTAAGAGGTGAGACAGAATGTAAGGTTTGCGGATGAGAAAGGAGGTTTTAGAGTGGGTTGGGGTATGTGTAGATCCAGGTGTTTACATTGAAGCATATATGTGAACCAGTATTTAGATAAAGATAGGGGAAAGTTTTTTTATTGCATTTATGGATTTAGAAACAGGCATTATGAATAGAGTGGATAGAGGAAGCAATGTGCAGATGTTGCACCCCAAGTATATGGAATAGGGGTAAGTTATATTGCTGTAAAGAGGTTTTTTATGAGGATAGGTGAGGCTCAGGTTAGGGTGTGTAGAAGAGAGGGAGACTAATTCGGTAAAAGTAAGGTCTTAGACGGGATGTGTATGTCACCATGGTTGTTTAATATATTTACTTAGTTCGGGGGTTGGTAAAGGAAAGTAAAATGCTAGGGTGTTGGGGAGAGGGGTGGATTATTAAATTATGGGGAATCAAATTCAAATTGGGAATTGACACAGTTACTTTTTGTGAATGGATTACTGTGCTTATGTGAGATTCATAAAGAAAAAATTGCAAAGGTTAGTGGATGGTTTGGGTAATGTGTGTAAAGGTTAGGAAAGTTGAAAGTGAACATAGAAAAGATTAAGGCGGTTGAGGGTGTTCAAATGATTTAGATAAAAGAAAAATTGGGATATCATATTGGGAGGAGGAGTATGGAAGAAGGGAATGTTTTCAGATCTTGGGATGTTGACGTGTCGGCGGATGGATTTATGAAGGTCAATGAGGTTATCTTAGAATTGTAATTGAGGTGAAAAATTGGTGAGTGGTGCGTTGAGGTATATGTGGATTCAAAAAACGGTTATCTTATGGAGGCAAGAAGCGGAATGTATGAAAGTATTATAGTAGTACCAACATCTTATATGGGTGTGAAGCTTGTGGTGGGTAAATGCAGCAGCGTGGGAGCGGTACGGTGGAGGCAGCGGAGATGTCTGTTTAAGGGCAATGTGTTGGTATAAATTTTATGCAGAAAAATTCGGGTGTGGATAATTAGGGTGAAGGTGTGGAGTTAATTAAAAGTATTAGTCTGAGGGCAGAAGATGGGTGTTGAGTGTTTGAGTCATTTAGAGAGAATGGTTCACAGCTAGAAATGAATGGAAAGCATAAAAATCTATAGGGGAAGGGAAGGCGGGGTGGGTAAGGGGTCGTCCTCGAAAGGGTTGGAGGAGGGGGGTAAAGGAGGTTTTGTGGGTAAGGGGCTTGGACGTCCAGCAAGCGTGCTTGAGAGGTTAGTTAGGGAGGAATGGAGAGACGGAAGGTACTTGGGACCTGAAGATCTGTTGGGGTGTGTCGTCAGGGTAATATTTAGTGAAGGGATTCAGGGAGGAAAAAAAAACCCGGTTATTTTCATATAGTCGGACTTGAGTCTGGAAATGGGAATGTACAATGCCTGAACACTTTAAAGGAGGGGTTTGGGCTATTGGCAGTTTGGAGGGATATGTTGTGTTTAAATTCTTTTTTTATATGTTATGCTTAATAGACAAGTAGTATTCTGAGCACCTCTGCAAAATAAAACAGAGATAATGTGAGATTGTGTGGTGGGTGATAGTGTTTGAATGATGATGAAAGTTTTTCTTTTTGGGGATTTTCTTTCTTTTTTGGGTCTCCATGCCTCGGTGGGAGGATCGGCCGACTTGTTGAAAAAAAAAAAAAAAAAAAAAAAAAAACATGTTATGTTTAGTGTGACCTAAGTGTAAAGTTGAAGTGCAAGACGTACCTGTAAATCTTGATATTTATGAGCAGACAAAAGATCACCAGCAATCTACCATCTTGTTTAAAACAATTACAGGCTTTCGTTTTTTTACACCTCGCTTTAGCAGGACGGTAGTACCTCCCTGGGTGGTTACTCTCTACAACCTACTACATCAAACATTGTTACATCAAAAATGTTACTATAATGGATTGAAAAGCAATAAAGTAATAAAAATAATGTTATAAAGGTTAAAGTTACTGTACAGTCAATAAATAAAATTAGGAAAAAAAAAAGGGGGGGGGGCGATATAGAGTGCAATCAATAAATAGTTAAATATAAACTTGACTTTAATTAAATAAATTAAGTTCTTTTTTGTAGGAATTACACAAGGTCTATTAGGCACACGTTACTGTACATACTTATTTTAGCTTAATTAGGAATTTATTTCGTACGGTTGGGGGGTTGGTGGGGGGGGGGGGGGGACCATCACTAATCCGGCATTACTGGAACATGTAAGGTGCTGGTTTGTGATTTTGCCAGATTACAGAGTTAGTTAGGTTTTAAAAAAATACACTTAACCAACTGGCGGTATTTATTGCATCGGCAGTTTACCACTTTTTGCCCCTTATATTTGGTCCATTCCATTGTTTCCAGTCTATCCAAATCTGCTATTTCGATAGTATTCCTCTATTCTGTCGATTGAGTTACACGAAACCGCCCTTTACCTATCTTCAACTACCCAAACTTCAAGTGATTATGTGTGAGTGGATCAGGTGAAATGTGGTCAGAAATCAGTAATTTGGGCCAATTTTGAAAAATTTCAAGAGATGCCAATTTCAAAATAGGGTCAAGAATAAACAATGCAGGCATTCCTGGAACTAAAGTAAATTTCCTGCTGTTCATTAATACCATCTCCAGGCCCCTTATATTATACTTGCTTTCTATTTGAATTTTTCACACAAAAGATTAGAAGATTTTACTGTTTTTGCAGATTACTGCATCATTGTTAATAAATGTATAAATAATTTGGATAAACCACATGCATGACCACACTTAGACTGGCCAGCTGGGACACAAATTGGACAGGATGACAATCATTTGTTTATTCTTGAACATCGGCAAAAAATTGAACATTTCCACTACTTGAGCTAGTTTCAAGGTACAGTGGACCCCGGGGATTTCGTATATAGTCATCGGTAATTTCATAATGTTTTCAATGTAGTTAACTTTTTTTTGTTGTCAAAATATTGGCTCGGTAATTGTCATTAAATCAGTAATAGTCATCGTCATGAACATACTCCGCACAGCCTGAGTGGCCCTGACACCATTTACAGCCAGTGTGCCATTGTTTTATCAGACGTGAGATGATCCCCCACGTATTTCATACGATACCATTTGTATTATTCCATTCTTTTTGTGTTTGTAAATTGCTAAAATCAAGCCAACATGGGCCACAAAGAAAGCTTCTAGTGCCAAACCCTTTGTGTAAAAGGAGGGTGAGAAACAATACTGTATTCAGGAAAGTATCATGCCAAATATGAAAGTGGAGTAAAGTGTTGCAGAGCTTGCTGGTTGGTATAAAAAAACCCCATGTAACCATCATTCTATCATGGCCAAGAAAAAGGTAATCAAGGAAAGCTTGTTGTTGAGTGAGGTGGCAATATGGCTTACAAAAACAGAGATCGCATCAATAATGGAAGTGTGGCAGACTTATGCTGATTGGTGTGGATCACGAGAAACTATTATCAGGAGATAGTGGTTATGCAGTCAATAACTTGTGATAAGGCAAGGGCGGTTGTATGACGGATCTCGTAAAAATGACCTGCAACGAGTGCTGATGTTAGTGGAATTTAAGGCCGGCATGGGGGTTTGAGAGATTAAGAAGCATAGTGGCTTACACAGTGTAGTAAGGCATGGCCAGAGGCTGCATCTTCTGACAAAAATTGCAGCTGCCAAAATATGTTCAGGAATTCAAGGGATACATAGAGGCTGAACAATTCCAAACCCAACAATGGTCAATTGTGACAAACGGGGCCTCTTTGGAGAAAATGCCGAAAAGAGAGTTCCACATACTCAGGAGAGGAAAAAGGCACTGCAAGGACTCAAGCCTATGAAAAGACAGGCTAAACGTCTATGTTCTGTAGTAATTGCTAGTGGGGATTTCAAAAGTGAAGCCTTTACTGGTGTATCTCACTCTGAAAATCCTGTGTTTTCTAGAAAAAAGTGTCATCAATGTAAACTGTGTGTGATGTGGAAGGCAAACAGTAAGGCATGGGTCATGAGGGACATTGTCCCTTGATTGGTTCAATGAAATGTTTGGCCCCTGTGTGGAAGAAATTCCTCCTGGGGAAAATAAACTGGAATCGCATGCCTCTGTAATGGACCAATGCTCTGCTCAATCTCCAGACTGGGAAGTGCAAATGGGAAGAAGTTTCGTTTCATCACTGTGAAGTTATTGTCCCCTAATACCACTCCTTTCCTCCAGCCATGGACCGCAGTTCATTTTCAAAACTTCAAAAAAAACTGTCACAACAAGCAGTGTTTCAAAAGTGCTTTGAAGTGACCTCAGACACTGAATGACCCCAAGAGTGTTATGGATGGAAAAGATAATTCAATATCATACTTTGTTTAAACTATAGGTATGGCTTGGGAGGGAGTGACTTCCAGGACTCTGAATCTGCTTGGAGAAATTGTGGCCAGAATGTGTTCCAAGAGAGAGGATTTTTGAAGGGGTTCTTGGGGCTGAACCTTGAAGCGCTATGCCAGGTATGGAAAGTAATGTGGATTGGGGAATTCCAAGGGGTTGTATGTGAGTTTCGAGGATGTGGTAGAGTTGTTGGAGGAGGACGATGAAGAGCTAACCACTACAGAGCTGCAAGACCTTCGTCTGCAACAGCAAGAGACCACAGCTCAGGAAATTGCTTCAGAGGAGGAGGAAGAGAGATGGAGGAAGGTACCTTCTTCAAAGATTGAGCACATTTGTGCAAAGTGGACTGAGGTGCAAACATTTATGGATGAACTTCACCCTGACAAAGCTGTTGCAGGCCATGTTGGCAACATGTACAATGACAATGTTGTGTCCCACTTTAGGGAAGTTTTAAAGAAACACCAGATACAGACCTCTCTGGAACACTTTTTTGAGTGACAGGAGTCGAGTGACTCAAGCTGGTCCTAGTGCCATTAAAAAACAAAGAAGGGAAGTAACCCCAGAAAAAGACTTGGTACCTAAAGTCATTATGGAGGGGAATTCTCCTTCTGAACAATATTATTATTATAATCAAAAAGAAGCGCTAAGCCACAAGGGCTATACAGCGCTGCAGGGTAGGGAAGGAAGCAAGGGAATTGGATGGCAGAAGGGAGGGGGGGATGATCAGCAGGTTACAGAAAACAGCGGGGCAGGGGATAGTACGGGGGTAGAGGGTAGCAAGAGATTGAAGTAGAAAGGGCTGAAGGTATCAGAATTTGTGAAGTCAGTCAGTCGTTGTCAAAAAGTCAATGAGGGAGTCCGGATGAAAGGTGGGTCCATCAGCGAGAAGGGAAGGTAAAGAGAGAGCAGCGGAGCGAAGATGACGACAGAGGTAAATTCTGCGTGCTCGTTGATAAAGTGGGCAGTCCAACAGAATGTGGCTGACTGATAATGGAGTTTGGGCAATTCTCACAGAGAGGAGCAAGACGCCTCTCCATGAGATATCCATGAGTAAGACGAGTATGGCCAATGCGAAGACGGGAGAGAGAAGTCTCCCAACCTCGACACTGGTGATAAGAAGACGGCCAGTAACCTATACTCGGTTTAATAGACTGAAGTTTGTTGCCGAGCATAGTAGACCAACGTTGTTGCCAACGGGTGTGAAGGTGGGAAGATATTGCAGCAAAATAGTCCATAAATGGAATACCTCTATAAGAAACTGGTAGGTCATGTACTGCTGACCGCGCAGCAGTGTCTGCCTGTTCATTGCCCTGTACGTCAACATGACCAGGGACCCAACAAAAAACAATATCTTTATGCTTGGTAAAGATGCGGCGTAGCCAAAGTTGGATACGGAGGACTAAGGGGTGAGGTGTATCAAATTTTTGTATAGCCTGTAAAGCACTAAGGGAGTCTGAGACAACCACAAATGATGACACAGGCATAGATGCAATATGGATAAGTGCTGTAAGGATGGCATATAATTCAGCAGTAAAAATACTAGCCGAAGATAGTAAATGCCCTTGTACGACGCTGTCCGGAAACACTGCTGCGAATCCCCAACGCCGTCAGAAGACTTAGAGCCATCTGTGTACACAGCAATGCCATGAGAATGAGTGAAAGTGGTCAAGAAAAAGAGAGTGGGAAGCGACCGTAGACAGTTGGGCTTTCGAGCAAGGGAGGGAGAAAGAACAGACTCGAACAGCTGGAACTTCCCAGGGGGGTAGGGAAAAGTGAGATGCTACATGTACATAGAAAGGTGGTAGTTGAAGAGAAGACAAGAGCGAATGAAGGGGAAGAGAGAAGGGACGGAGTAAACAGGGGCGGCGAACAAATAAAGAATGTCTACTAATATCAGTGACCATTCTATAAATGGAAGGATTGCGGAGATCATGAGAGCGTACATAGTAGCGCAGGCAATGGGCATCACGGCGATCGGATAAGGATGGAACGTTCGCTTCTGCATAGAGGCTCTCGACAGGGGAAGAGCGGAAAGCACCAAGGCATAAACGTAATCCTTGGTGATGAATGGGGTTAAGGCTAGAGAGAGTAGCAGGAGATGCCGCTGAATAGATCTGGTCACCATAATCAAGTTTCGATAAAATAAGGGTGGAATGTAGGCGAAGGAGGGTTCGACGATCAGCTCCCCACGAAAGATGAGCAAGGGTTTAAGAAGGTTCAGCCGGCTGTGACAAGTTGCCTTCAGAGAGGTAATGTGAGGTTTCCAGGATAACCTACGATCAAAGAGGAGGCCCAGAAATTTGACTGTATCACATTCAGGGATACGGGAGCCATAGAGGTACAAAGGATGATCGGAGATGACAGAGCGTCTAGTGAAAGTGATTTGGTGGGTTTTAGTGCTGGAAAATTTAAACCCACGTGTGGTGGCCCAATTGGAAACACGGTCGACTGCATGTTGGAGAGAAGCGAAGCGAAGTCATCAACATAGAGTGATGACCAAATATTTGATGGAAGACTAGAGGCCAAATCATTAAAAGCAAGGGGAAAAAGTGTTGTGCTCAGAAACATCCCCGGGGGGACACCTTCGCTTGGTTTAAAAAAATTTCCGGGAGAGCACATTTTTAACCCGAACACGG